TAACAGTCCGTTTGCTTTAAAGCTTACGCAAAAACGCGTAAGCTGTGTTCGCGTGTTCGCACTGGCAGCTTTGGTGCACGCCGCATCGATTCAGTTTTTGAGAATGGTTATGATTAATAGCTGAGAGATGGGATTTTAAGATTCTGAGGCATTTCTTAAAAAGGGTAAGCTAGAACCAGTGGCATTATCTTTGATATCTAAACCAATCCGCCAGCTGTGGTGTTCAGTTAAGCTCAGCTAGGAAAAATCTTCAAAAACTACATGTGATAAATAAAGCATTAATAATAATCAGGCAGCACTACTGATGCAATGTAGAATTTACGAGTTAAAATGCAAAAAAAAATGACTCAGTTTTTATAAATTATTTCCGGAATTATAAGTCAGTGCAAAAATACGAATTCAACGTACCAACTTTGTCAGAGCGCCTGTCAGTGCGAAATGATAAAATTTCGAGTATAACGTTTGAAATCAAAAAGACAATAATGTATGCCGCGAAAAGCCAAGTGAGTGAATGCCCATAAACACGCAACAGCCCCGTCTTACCCAGTGGTACTGCCAGAAATATTGTTACTGCTGAAACAAAAAAGTATAATGTCACGATGAAAAAAGCTCAGGGAAGCGATTTGTTTTTTTTACGAACGATTCGTAAATTAGAGTATTTGTAAAATATACAAAAAAAAATGTGCATTTGCTTGAGAACTTAGTAAAAGTCGAATTCTCGTAAGCAGCGTCAGCATTTTTCTTGTGTATTTTAATTTATTATTGAAATCTCTGTTTCACATCCCGTAAAACTGCGAGATACATCTCATTTATTTACTTTCTTCTGGTGGTTTACACAATTTTAACTCTAACGTTTGGTGTTATCAGTTGTATAAGGCACTGGGAAGTAGCTCAGTTGGTAGCAAATGTAAGAAACTCTTTGCCAAAGTTGTCGACTTCTGTTGCTTCTGAGGGTTGCGTAAAAGTAAGCTGATGGCTGGTTTGGTCTACTAGCATGTAAAAGTACCAATTTACTATTGAAACAAGTGAAGGAATTGTGGAATTGATTATCCCACTGGTGCAGCTGAGCTCTCGACAATCAAGATGTTCCATTCTACAGTGTCAGTTTTTGAATTTGTTAGAGGATTTTTTTAAGTGGGCGTGTCTTCGTCAAAAAGATTTTACAAAAAGTGAAACTGCGAACCTCAATCAGAAGGAAGAGGCCATGAAAGTTTTAAGAGATTTTACGAAAATAAAAGTTTAGTGCTTTGCATAACTTCAAAAAAAAAAAAAATCACAAATGAGAAGGAAAGGATGGCAATTCTCGACCAAATAGAATTCTTTTAAAAACGCTAACATGCAAGCGCCCAAGCAGTCATCCCGAAGAACCAGTGGGTCCAGTTGTACAGTGGTCGGAGAACTGAATTTGGCCCTGGTCGCACCGCAGCTATTATTGGTTGCACTAAGACAAGTGCTGTTGCAGCGATTCCAGTTATCACATGCATCTTCTTTGCCCAGTCCTGCAACACTTTTATTTCTGGAAGCTTTCGCCAAAGGAATTGTAAAATAAATTTGCAGATGCTCCGTTTTTCGATGTTTAGAGAAAGCAGCAAAATCGCTCTAAGTGTGAGTTGTTAAGAATTGTACTACCGCCAGAACAACACGAATGGAAGTTCCTTGTCAGTGATGTTACCTGGATTCTCTCCACACATCCGGTGCAGTTGCTACAAGCCTTTTTTGATCTTGAGCTACGTACCTTCATTCAGCACTCATAGCCTGTACAATGTATGTGTACAGCCATAAGAACTTTCGATAGAGAGTTACAGAACCATATTTCATCAATGTTATGGTTGAATCCAACTACGTTGCAATATTGCCAATAGAGTCCACTTTTCTCGTGTCTTCTACTAGATCACAGTCCAAGAGTACAGATTTTTCAGCTTCAGATTTGGACCTGCATCGACAAAAGAACTAACCTCAAGGTTGCACTTATACGAACATTCATACAGACGTCCAGCCTGATAAATTATTAGGAAAACACCAACGACATGCAAGCAAACTGCGGCTAGCGTCAAATCGCGGTGCAGCTGCAAATGATACTATGTGAGATTCCTGAGGCCTGAGTGATTTTTTCTTCGGGAATGATCACACCAGATGCATGCAGACCAAATACTTTTTTATTCCTCACAACGAACGTATATTAAGCACATCTAGTCAAACAGAAAATCTCTCTCGTTTCAAGGACTCGAAATGAATTCTTAGGACTTTTGTGCAGCAGCACTAAACATTTTTATTACTGAATATATTTACAAAAGTTTTCCGACTTCTTGGGTGAAGCCCAGCTGAACTACTGCATTAACAGTACCATGCTCATTATGTATTTTTACATCGAACACAAATGTCTTTCTAAATCACAGCACTGCGCTGCTCTTGCTGCAAGAAGGGAAAGTATTATTCAAACGAATTTCGAATGCTGTCATTTTTGGAGTTGGAAAGGTTAAAAATTCGTCCAGCGTCACT